CCCTTTTCGTTAGCAGACTGCATGTTTGGTACTTTTTTTCCTTAAAGCCAGTTATTTTGCACTGCAAAAGAAATTCAGTTTATAAGATAAATTGGAAAAATCCTTAAGAGTTATAAAAAAATTTATAGTGCTATTAATCTTTCCATATTCCCCATTAAGCAACATTAAGCATTCATATATGGATCCATGGTAATTAATGTTTTTCTAAAATTCTTTTTAGTAAGATGGTTTTCAGCAAATGGCATTCCCAAGATAAAGCTGTTATGTTTTAGCTCATTTCCCTTCTTTGGTATTAGGTTATATATGTGTGTTTGTTTTTTTAACTTGAGAGCTGACTTGCTTAGGAAGTTTTCTTATGGCAAAAATAATGTAAATAATTTACTATGTTATGCATTTTGCCATGAACTCATTTATAATTAAGCTTATCATTTATTAATAAGAATTTTTCTGTTCTTGTCCTTTATAATATTACATTAAAGTTAATAACCATTATTGGTACTTTTGCAATATTTGTATGCATTTGTTACCTTTAAACATTTGAAGAAGCACAAAATAGATTTAGTTAACCCAGGGAAACATCAGTTTTTTAGTAGTTCCAATTTTATATCACAGTTTTATTTTCTTATGAAATTCAAAATAATACATTGATACTCATTAATGCAAATTCATTATTTAACGTAAATATGAGTAATCTTTAAGGTTTGAAATGAGAAGGATATTGACTATTTTTTATTTTAACAGTATACTTCTTAGGCTTTCATTACCAGCTCTAAAGAACTTTTTGGAATAATTCCATATTCTATAGTGTGTGGTTTATGAATTGTGTGTTTCATCACTAACCCAGTAGCCATGAGAAAAGTCAGTCTCTCTCACTCTCTTTTTCTCTCTCTCTTTCCAGTAGCAATGTTGTGTTCATAGTCTACTTTCCAAAAGACCAACAGTTAAAAAGAGCTTGTTTAGTTGATCCGAAATTGAAATGGAAGTTAGAGAACTTGGACGAATTAACTCAAGTTTTACCACCAAATGCTGTAATGTTAAACGATTTTTAAACTCTTGAATGAAAGGTGCTATGTAAATGTAAATACCAAGAATTCTTACTCAAATACAAATATTGCACAACAGAAATATTTAAAACCTATTCTCTAGACTTTGAAACATCTCTCTCCATCATGACTCCCTGGATTCAAGTATCAAATTGGAAATGGGTATCAGGGCAGTCTAGATACACCTGCATGTAAAAAATGTAAATTCATTTTTAGGTGGATAAGTTGAAAGTAAATGTAGAAATTATGTTTAGCTAAGTATAGTAAGTGGATAACTTAGATTTTTACTAGTTAGCATCTAATTTGCACAACTAGGACATATCCCAGAACAATTTCTGAAAGCTGAAATTTAATGAGTGTGAGGTGACCCAATAAGGGTGAATATTATTAAAGCTTGACCTCTTCAGGACACTAACATCCTAAAGTAGAGAACCTGCTGAGTTAAGCACATGACTGCTTCAAGTGGAAAACACTGAAAGACAGCCTGTAACGTACTGAATCTGAGTAGGCTGACCCTGAGAAAGGACAATTAGACAACCAAGGGAACACATTGAGACTGCAAAAATATGAATAATCTCAATTATACTCATCACTTTTTTTATACCATTTCAAGTAAGGACTAGATAATAACCACACGAATATTTTACTTTCACTAAGATACCTTCAGAATCAAACTTTGTAGTAAGCCGCTCTTTTCCCTTAAACTTTTTTAGCCAAACAAAATAGTAAAGCCAACTGGAAACTAACTGTATCCTGACATGGTTTTAATTATCTGGGTCTATTCTAAATCAACACCTAAATCCCCAGGGAAACTGAAGAATTCGATATACAGGGTAAATAGCTTTGGCCAGGAGCTCCAGTAATGTGCTTCAGATCTGGCCATGTGGAAATGTTTTGGTCCAAGTTTTTGAATTGGTGGTAACCAAAGAGTTCATGAAACAGGTTTGTATGTAGCACCTTTCATGCAAGGAATATTAAAGCCTATTTAAAAATCACTGTGCATATTGCAGAATTGCAGCCACCTCACAAATGAAGTACTACAGCCTGTACTTTCTTAACAGTTTATATCAGGAAGTAAAAAAGATACTGTACCAAATCTGAAATTACAACGGGGAGTAATAATGTATGCTAAATGACTTTTGTATTTTAAGTTACGTTTTGTGAGAAAAGTGGTGAATTTTTGTGTTTTTCTTTTCAGCTACACTAAGTCCTGAGATGTATTTTTTTCTTTAAGCCTTGAATGAATAACACGGAAGGAACCCATTTTATAATATAAAACTTGATGTACATGTTGAGATATTTGGACAATGAAAATGCCTTAACAGGAATGCTTATGGATAAAGTTGCACTTATTACACCCTTCAACAAAGCCTGATTTTAAATTGTCTTTTTCTTTTCTACTAAAGGTTTTCTTTTTCAGTGTTTATACCATTGTACTTATAACTGTTATTAAATACCAAATCAAATAATATAAAAGCTGTAATATTTCCTTTAAAACTAATGCAAATGAGGGATTTAGAGTTGAATGGCAAAATGTTTACTACTTGGCAATACCTGTTGTCAGTCACAGGCATCCAACTCATGACAAGAAACACTGTTTGACTGATTTGTCTTTTAAAAAACATTTTTCATTTTAATTTTTGTTTCTCCTTCAAAAATTAAGTTGGATTAACATTCACTTATCAAACTGATATAAAAATAAAACCAAGAGGTGATTTTTATAACAAGTGGTTAGTAATCATTTAAAACTTACAACATACTATTTTAGCCAAATGATGTTCTTGTATTCCTTTCCCCTTGCCCTAGAGAACTATTTCCAGACATAACCCATAGCCTTGTCTAGTTGATTCTATCAGTCATTTTGGGATGAGTATTAAAGGTTTGGGAAGAAAGAAAAGAGAATACAGTCTGTCAATTTTGTTGGTTTTTAAAATAATCTAATAGATTGTACACATCAATCTCTCATTTTCACTTAACAGACTTTGGGAGACAGAATATTAAAGACAACAGCTGGCCTTGTCCTTGGGCAAGTCAGTTTTTCTGGGCCCCTTTTCACCATAATGTGGAGAGGGGCAGTTAGACCAGACTTAAGTTGCTTAATTTCTGATTTTGTTCATTAGTACTTTCATTTTATACACAGAGCAACCTAAAATTGTCCTTTTGTCTTAGAGATACAATACAGAGTAGGTCTTTAAAAAAAAGTGGAACCTTAGAATTAGGCCATTAACTTTATTTTGCCTTTTAGTAATACAAGTTGGTACAAATTAAGTACAGTATCTCTGTCAGTTGAAATTACTTTTTGAGTGATCAAGCTTAGGAAAATAACATTTTATGAATATACTGACTGGGCACAGTGGTGCATGCTATAATCCTGGCACCTTGGGAGGGTGGGGCTAGAGATTTCTTGAGGCCAAGAGTCTAAGACCAACCTGGGCAGCATAGTGAGACCTTACCTCTATTTTGGGGGGGAAAAAAAAATATATATATATATCCCATTTGATTGTAATAGAGGAAAATGAGAATTGTCATGACAATGAGGATTATTCTTATGTCAGATCCTCAACTAATGAAGGATTTTGTTTAAGTGAAGTGAAAAATGTTAAGTTTTGTTTTTGACTGGCTTCTACATGACAAATGATTTTAGATTTTCCTGGGTTTTTATACTGTTGTAGATGCTGTCACTGAAAGGGTATGAGTATAATTTGATATAGCCTAGGGGAAAAAATAAACTTGTATGTGTATGCTCACATTTCTAACCTCTGAACCAAAGACTAAACACATCCTTTTTAATGGCATAATGTATATTCCACTACTAAATTCTAATTTTTTTTTTAAGATTTGTCAAGTACGGCAGTGAAAAGGGAGAAACGTAGAACAAGGAGTTCAATATGTAGCTGACTGTGAACAATAAATGGAGGTAACTCGCTACCTTTGGACCAGCATAAAATAATTTTTATTTTTTTGAGTTGGAGTCTCACACTTGTCACCCAGGCTGGAGTGCGGCGATCTTCCACCTCAGTCTTAAAATGTAATTTTAATAGAATAATCACATCTTTCACCTCTAGTTGTTTTTCCCAAATAAAATTGTGTAACTATTTTTTGTAATTGCACAGCATTTGAAAGACAGCTAGTTCCCTGCCATGAAATAATTTTTTATAGAATATTAATTAGCTTTTTATTAGGGAAAAAAATAACCAGTTTAAAAAATTAAACACCCAGTAGTGGAAAGTCTCTACTCTTGCTCCCATGTTTGTTTTAATTACAGTGCTGGGGAATTCTTGTTCCTTAATTCCCATTTCCCAAGAAGAACCACTGTCGATATTTTTTTTTCTTTTTAAAAAAGAGACAGGGTCTTACTCTGTTGCCCAAACTGAAGTGCAGTGACATGATCATAGCTCACTGCAACTTCAAACTCCTGGGCTCAAGCTGCTCTCTCACTTCAGCCTCCCAAGTAGCTAGGACTACAGGCACGCACCATCATGCCTTGCTAAATTTTTTTTTCTTTTGTAGAGATGGGTTTCCCTATGTTGCGCAGGCTGGTCTCATACTCCTGGCCCCAAGCATTCCTCCCACCTCAGCCTCTCAAAGCACCGGGATCACAAGTGTGAGCCACTGTGCCAGTTCTCAACAATTTAATATATTCCTATATCCCTTTTGATTTTTCCCCCTTTATTGTGCACTTTATACCTACCATTTTGCAACTTGCTTTTTTCTAGTAAACACCATAAAGATATAATAAGCTAGTTAATCTTAGAAGTATTCTTAATTGTTGAAGGTATTCCTTTAATGAGTAATCGTCATGAGAAATGAACTGAATCTGAGCTGACTAAAACTACCTCAGTACCTCTAGAGCTCTTTTAAGGTGAAATACTGTATTCCTCCTAATGTGATTTAGATTGTCACCAAACCTAGTAATATCACTTTCCACGCTTTTTATAAATTATAAATAAGAAAAACAGCTTTCAGAAATAAGTTTATTCTAAACATTTGCCCAGTTAATTTTTATTAAAATTTAATATTATGGGATCATGTCCTGTCTTCTTCACAAATGTGAGAAAGTCTTCAGGCCTCAATCCCATGGTTGCAGCATTGGTCATTGGATGAAAGTATACCTTTTCATGTCCACCTTCCAGAAAAGCAGAATCCAGAACAAATTTCACATCTCCATCATCACAGAAGAGCGCCAAGGGTGTGGCACAGCCTTGACCAACTTTTAGTTTTTCTAGCATGGCTGTTTCATCAGCAAACCGCAGATTTCCACTCCCAACACCTAACTGCTTGGCAAGTTCATTTAAATTAACTTGTCTATCATGAAGAACTGTCACCAGCCAATAGCTGTTTTTCTTTTTGTCTTTAAGAAATAAGTTCTTACTATGTGCTCCTTTCAGATGTTGAATATGAGGCATCATTTCTTCAACTGTAAACACCTATAAAATATCACAATGAGAAGTTTAAAAATAAGGTAATATGCAGTTATACACATGTTTTTTGTTTGCTGGGTGACAACAGCAAGGTTAGGAAATTCTCATTGTCCTAAATTTCTCTGGTAGACCCATCTCTAGCCCATTACCAAATAATTATTTATAAGCCTTTGCCATCACATTTCCTCATCCTAGGACCTCAGGCAGTTTCTCTTAAGCCAGTTTTCTATTACAATGTTCTGGAGAAGCCTTCACACTCTTAAACAGCCTATTTTTGTTGTTGTTGGTTTTTTTTTTTGGTGTGTGTAGGGTGGGGTGGTCCTCATTCTGTCTCCCTGGCTGGAATGCAGTGGCATGATCCAGTTCACAGCAGCCTTAAACTCCTGGGCTCAAGTGATCTTCCTGCCTCAGCCTCTCAAGTAGCTGGGACTACAGGGGCACACCATCACGCCCAGCTAATTTTTAAATTATTTTGTAAAGATGAGGTCTGACTATGTTGCCTAGGCTGGTCTTGAATATTTATTACATTTAAATGTTCGGTACTGGAAGTGTACAGCAGCCCCAAACTTTCCTGTGCCTTAGCTAGCATTCCATTAATCCAGATCATGTGACAAGCTCCACTCTCCAAATAGGTAACCACGAGGGTGAGTGGGTAGGGAATAAGACCCTGGACTAATAGACAACATCAGAAAAGCTGGCAATCTGCACGGGTAAAGGAGGAGAGCATACGACTGGGAGGGAGAACGGTCAGAGAAAATTTGTAAAAGTAAAGAATACTAACTTTTAATATATTTTATCTTTGAAGATCATATTTAGTATCAACTGTCGAGTCCCTGGTAAACTATGTCCTTGCACCACTCAAGTTACACACTGGTTCCGTGAAATATTTGCAAATAAGTCTGCACGTCATTACACAACACCATGTTAAAATTTATGAAAATACAAGGATGTACATCTTAGTAACCACTTTTTGTCACGGTGGTTACTTCTGCCACGCTGCAAAAGTGTAATGAGTTAGCTTTGTGATCAACCTGACCAAGATAGCAAGACGCCAGACTGTACCTTGGTGTCCTGCGGTAGGTATGGTCCCTGACACATCGCGGGCGCTGAATGCCGGTTTACTGCTTGGTAACTTACTTCATCTAAACATACAACGTGAACAACACCCGACACCGGTTCAAGATGCACGAATTCTCAATGTGGAACGTGAGCAAACCACTCCCGAGGGGAAAACGTTCCTGCAAAAACCTCCTGGTCCCCAGTCTGGAGACTTGCTGTCTATCGGGTCCCTCTCGCGCCAGGGGAAATGCTCCGCCAGCGCCACTAGCATCAGGGACGCCTGATCCTGGCGGCCTGGCCTGCAGGACGCTGCGGCAGAGCTCACCCCCTCCGGCCGGGCGGTCTCGGGTCGCGCCTGGGGCCTCACCTCGGGGTGCTCCACGACCTCGGTCTGGATGGCCAGGGCACCGAGCCGTTGCTCCAGCGCCGCCCGCAACTCCGCGCCCGCCATGCCGCTGCCGTCGTGGCAGCGCCCGGGGAAACGGCGCGGACGCCCGCAGCCGCACGGACCGGAGCCTGAGGCGGAAGTGCGTGAGCGGCCGGGGCCCGCGCCGGAAGCCCAGAGCCGGCGCCTGCCGGGGGCGGGTCCACGCGGTCCGCGCGCCCCCCAGCGCGCCTCCGGCCCGCGCGGTGCTCGGGCTTGCGGGGCCCTGCCGGGGCCCTCCTCGGGTCAGCGCGTGTTGGGTTTAGGCAGCCACAGCCACGTAGCCGCGTGCCTTTCAGGGAGTGTGGAGGGGGCCGAGATCCCTATATCGTTCTAAGGCTTTTCGACTTTAATTTGTAAATTATCGTCTTACACTGTTATTCGTCTAGGAATGATTGCCTGTGTGGATTCCTGTTATAAAATAGAGCTAAATCTATATATGATGAAAGAACTTTATATCACCTTTTCCCGAGGTGGTGTGGCTACCTCGTGGTCGTTTTTTAACCTATCCTGGAGTTTTCAGCTCTCCTGGGAAACACTCCCCCTTCAGTGAACCCTGGAAATCCGCGTTGGGGGTTGTGATAAATTATGGATTTATTTGCGCGCTCTTTCCCTCTTTTTTGAGGCGGGATCTCTGTAACCCAAGCCTGCAGAGTGCAGTGGCATGATCACTGCTCACCGCAGCCTCCACATACTGGGTTCAGGTGATCCTCCCGCCTCAGCCTGGCAACTGTGACTACAGGTGTGCTCACCACCACGCGTGGCTAAGTTTTTTTGTTTTTGTAGAGACGAGGTCTCACTATGTTGCCTACACTGGTCTCGAACTCCTGAGCTCAAGCAGTTCTCCCGCCTCGCCTTCCTAACATGCTGGGATTACAGGCATGAGCCACCTCTCCTGGTCCTCATTTATGAATTACGCTTAAGGCTCAAATCCCAGATAAAACATAGATATACCTATGGACGTTTAACCTTAGTGTGAATGAGTCTGGGTCATTTCTGGGGTGCAAATTAAGGACCTAGAGAAGAAAGTCTTTTCAGACGTAATAAGTGTCCAAGTCCTAACCCGCAGGCTTGGAAGAAGCGGCAAAAGAGGAAGAATTCAGTCAGCCTCACAGTTTGATCCAGAATCGGCCCTGGATAGCGCGATTTTATTTTAATTTTTTGAGTTGGAGTCTAAATCTGTCACCCAACTGGAGGGCAGTGGCATGCTCCCACTCACCACAGCCTCGACCTGCTGGACTCAGGAGATCCTTCTGCCTCAGTCTTCCAAGTACTGGAACTACAGGCATGCGCCATCGTGCCTGGCTAATTTTTTGATTTATTGTAGAGGTGAGGTCTCCCCAAGTTGCCCAGGCTGGTCTCGAACCTGCGAGTCCAGGCAATCTTTCACCTCGGCCTCCCAAAATTCTGGGATTATAGGCGTGAGCCACCACAACCGGCCTGAGAGCGTGCAGTGCAATTTTTTTTTTTTTTTTTTTTTTTTTGAGTTGGAGTCTCACTCTGTCGCCCAGACTGGAGTGCAGTGGCTGCTCCCGGCCACCGCAGCCTCGATCTGGTGGGCTCTGGCAATCCTTCCGCCTCAGCCTTCCAAGTAGCCAGAATTATAGGCATGTGCTACCACGCCCAGCTGATTTTTTGATTAATTGTAGAGATGAGGTCTCGCTGCCCAGGCGGGTCTCGAACCCGTGGGCTCCGGCAATCCACTCACCTCAGCCTCCCAAAGGCGCAGGATTACAGGCTGAGCCACCAAGCCCAGCTGAGAGCGTGCAATTTTAAACGTCTGTTTAACCCACCTCTTTAACAATTAAACCATGTTTCCCTTCAAAACTCCACCCAATTATTTCATCTCTGTAGAATCTACAACAGGCTACTTCCCATGGCGTACTAAATTCAGATCAACAGCAAAAGCAATAAACCATATTAAAGAGGATTTAGAAAACAGAAAAGGAAAAAATCACTCAATCTCATAATATTCATGCAGTGTTACTACCATTGTGGTATATTTTTCCAGTTTTGCATATTCCTTTTATTCTTGTTATTTTCGCTGTACATAATGAGTTTTTCAGATGATTGAAGCCTTCCTACATAAGCAGTTATGTATCCTGCCTTTTTTTTTTCTACTTATAAGCATTTTCTTCTGTTGCTACTGTCTTCCTATTCTTTTTTTTTTTTTTTTGAGTTGGAGTCTCACTCTGTCACCCAGACGAGTGCAGTGGCCGCTCCAGGCCACCGCAGCCTCGACCTGCTGGGCTCCAACGATCCTTCCGCCTCAGCCTTCCAAGTAGTCAGAACGACAGGCATGCGCTACCATGCCCGGCCAATTTTTTGATTTATTGTAGAGATGAGGTCTCCCTGCCCAGGCGGGTCTCGAACCCGCGGGCTCAAGCGATCCACTCACCTCAGCCTCCCAAAGGCGCGGGATTACAGGCTGAGCCACCGAGCCCGGCTTGTCTTCCTATTCTAATAAAGATATAACATATTGCCAGGCACAGTGGCTCACACCTATAATCCCAGCACTTTGGGAGATGGAGGCGAGAGGATTGCCTGAGCCCAGGGATTTGAGACCAGCCTGGACCAGCCTGGATAACTTGGCAAGACCTCATCACTACAATAAAACAAAAAATTAGCCAGGCATGGTGGGGCATGCCTGTAGTTCCAGCTACGTGGAAGGCTGAGGCAGAAGGATCACCTGAGCCCAGCAGGTCAAGGCTGCAGTGGCTTTGAGTGTGCCACTGCACTCCAAGCCTGGGTGACAGAGTAAGACTCTGATTCAAAAAAAAATGTGACATATTTGTAGCTGGATCATAATTGCTTTAATCATTTCCAGACTGGTAGACATCCTTGTTAACATTGCATGACATTTTAAATTGCTTGCCAAAATAATTATTTTGATTTATAATTTGTTAGCAATGTATAGACCTGTTTTACTATATCTTTGCCAAAATTGGAAGAATATTATATTTTTTAATTTGCAAATTTAACAAATTTAATGAACTTTTTTTTTTTTTTTTGAGTTGGAGTCTCACTCTGTTGCCCAGACTGGAGTGCAGTGGCCGCTCCCGGCCACCGCAGCCTCGACATGCTGGGCTCCGGCGATCCTTCCGCCTCAGCCTTCCAAGTAGCCGGAATTACAGGCATACACTACCACGCCTGGCTGATTTTTTGATTTATTGTAGAGATGAGGTCTCGCTGCCCAGGCGGGTCTCGAACCCGCGGGCTCAGGCAATCCACTCACCTCGGCCTCCCAAAGGCACGGGATTACAGGCTGAGCCACCGAGCCCGGCAGTGAACCTTATTTAATGTTCATTTCTCTGATTACCAAAGGCCTGGACATTTTTCCATGTTTATTATTTTATTTCCTCTCCTGTCAATTAGCTTTGTTCATGTCTTGGCTCATTTAGTCACTGAATAAATATTAATGGCTTTCACATTTATATATATGACCTCTTCTCATAATGAAATTATGAGCCTTGCCGGGTGCAATGGCTCAAGCCTGTAATAACAGCACTTTGGGAGGCAGAGGCAAGAGGACTGCCTGAGCTCAGGGGTTTAAGAGCAGCCTGGGCAACTTGGTGAGAGCTCATCTCTACAATCAATCAAAAAATAAGCCGAGCGTGGTAGTGCACGCCTAAGGTTCCAGCTACTTGGAAGGCTGAGGTGGAAGGATCACCTGAGCCCAGCAGGTAGAGACTGTTGTGGCTTTGAGCGTGCCCCTGCAATCCAGCCTAGGCAACAGAATGAGACTCCGACTCAAAAAAAAAAAAAAAAAAAACAGAAAAGAAATTATAAGACTTTTATTTGTCTTGTAGTCTCCAAATTGTTTTTCTTTCTTCCTTTTTTTTTTTAAGGTTTGGTTTTACCTATAAGCATTACCCTATTTTAGGTAACCAAATGTCATTCTTTCTTTTTTAAGTTATTCTGATCAAAGTTTGGAAAGTTAACCTCAGTAACAGAATAACTACTCAATCTTTCTTCTTAAGCACATTCAATTCCTTAATTTATTTAAAATTTAGCCTGGCATATATGATGTGGTGGAATCACTTTTTTTAATACATAAATTCTGTTTACTTGGGGATCTCCTCTTGTAAACATTGAGGCTTTGACCTCAATTCTCTTCTCTCCTTATTCTACATACCATCCTTGCATGATCTCACCTATACCTTCATCTTTGAGTAACCTCTTAAGGTGGATATATACAAATCTATACTTCTAGACTTTGCCTCTCCCATGATTTCAAAGGTATTTAAGCGTGATCAGATGCACACAGTGCTTACATTGACTCAGAGTGCTTTTATTTATTTGTTTATTCCTTTTTATTTTATTTTAAAGACGTGGGGTAAAATTCAAGATTAGGTATATAAGCAGTCATTGTACAGGTAAAGTTTGGACCTCCCTTTGGTCCCCACTTTGCCTGGTTTGAGATCAGGTATCCTTATTGATGTTGTGTCCACCCCGATGGATTCACTTTTTTCAGTAGTTTTCCTTTTTACGAATGAAACTAGAATAGCAAAGATAGCCCATTTGAAGAAATGCCACACCTCAAATGATTATCCTTAAATGTTTGGAATCTTTCTAGAATACCAAATTCAATCATGGTGACCTGAGAACAAACAGGAGAAAGGAGAATTGGAATCTGATTGTAAGAAAATGTAAATTATGCCCCAAAGTAGGAAAACATTAACCAAGGGCAGGGTCTCCTTGACAGCTGCAAAACAAGAAAAGGCTTACATTAATAAGTAAGAAATCTTTTTAGGTATTGGATGAAACAAAGGGCAGTTCTAGGACAGGTAAGTTGAAAGCAATTCTATGAAGCTGTGCATACCCAAACAGCAAGTGAGATGATGTTTTAAAAAAAAAAATACTTACTGTAATCTGTGTCTCTTCAACAAGTCTTTTGGAACATTTCTATGTACCAGGATGCATCTATATATGCCATGCTTTGAAAGTATGGTTTCTGCCTTTAAAGACCTTAATTTGCAAAGAGGACTGAAACATTCATAGAGGATAGATTCAAGAAAATGTGCCTCATTGAATGATAGCATAATGAGAATGCTTTAGGAG